CAGGTAAATCTGCCCCCAAGTCGCAGACCTCTCCTCTTTCCCCAAGGCCATCGCTCCCTGCCAGGGTCACTCCAGCTCTGCACTGGAGGATGGACTGAGGATCAGGCTGCCTGGGGTTGGCTTCTCAGGAGCAGGGTGAAGTCACCCCCCTGAGCTTTATGTGCAGTTCAGGCAGCATAAGCTACCATGAATCCGGACTCCTACACATTTGCTGTCTTTGGCATGTGCATACACACGCTTACCAGGATGGCTGGGTATGGAGGAGCTTGCTGTGCTGGTCATTTGCTACGCCCAGCGATCACAGAAGCACAAGTAGCAGCGAGAAATCTTCATCAGATAAGATCATGGCTGGCAAACGAAATGCCCATGGAAAAGGTTTTTATAAGGTCCAGCCTGAGTTAAAGAATCCTGAGTTCACTCTATTTGGAAGAAAAGTTCCCAGCTTGCTTCACTTTTTCCTTTTTTACTGTATTACAGATTACAAATAACTGGCAACAAAAGAGAGCACCAACCCTGTCCTGCACGATACGCACACACAGCATTGACCATACTGGGAATGCTTAGTCTTAACAGTCTTTGCTAACTGCGTATTGCCTAAGCAAGGGACCTGGTTGCTATCTTCTACACACCTGCTCTGTGATCTTGGAGTCTGACCTCTGTCTCGTCAATTCTGAGTCTCAATCTCTTCATCTGTAAAATAAAGAGCTTGGAAAAGACAATCTCTAAGGACCATTCTAGAAAGACCTTCCAAATCTGGTTTCTCCAGCACTAGTTCTGTTCAGTCCATCAGAGGTGGCCCTCGCTGACCTCTCCAGACAGGGTATTTCAGGGCCACCTGCCCCTTGGTGCCAGGCCAAGAGCACAGGCAGATAATAAGGCCAGAAGGATGACAATTCACAGATAAGAGAGTTCCTGCTCAACCTGGTTACCAAAATCTTGGAAAGAAACCCATCAAGCCCTTGGCATCACACACAGTCCCCTGATCCTTCATTCAACAAATGCTTGAACACCCATGATGTGCCATGCCCCACTCCAAGATCTGGAAATAGACAGCAGTGAACAAAGCCGATCGTCTTTTGCTTCCTGGAGCTGAAATTCTAGTGGGAGAAAATTAATAAGTAAAGAAATACATCAGGTGGATGACAATGTGCTATGTGGAAAAATGCAGCAGGGAGCTTGGACTGGGAGGCCCAGGGGTGGGGGTGCTACTTCACACGGACCAGTAAGGAGGCCTCTCTGAAAAGTTGACATTTGTGCGGAGAGCTGAAGAAAGTGAGAGGACCAGTCTTAGGGCTAGCTGGGGGAAGTGTGTCCCAGGAGGGAAATCGGTGAGTGCAAAGGTCCTGGGGCATGTGTGCCTGAGGTGTTGTTGAAATAGCCGAGTAGGGGCGCCTGGGTGGCTCAGTTGGTTAAGCGGCTGCCTTCGGCTCAGGTCATGATCCCGGGGTCCTGGGATCGAGCCCCGCGTCCGGCTCCCTGCTCAGTGGAGAGCCTGCTTCTGCCTCTCTCTCTGCCTGCCCCTCTGCCTACGTGTGCTTTCTCTCTGTGTGTCAAATAAATAAATAAAATCTTTTAAAAAACAAGAAATAGCCGAGTAAGTAAAGTGGGAGGAAGAAGGTACCAGGAGAGGAAGTCAGAGAGATAATGAGGAGACCAGGTCATAGGGAGCCTTGAGGGCCACCGGAAGAATTTGTCTCTCTAACTGGGAGGGCTGCCATTGGGAGCTTTTGAGGATTAAAGGGCTACAGTGTGCCATATGTCTTAAAGAGATCTTTGGGATCTGGCTGCTTTTTGAGACTAAACCACGGGGCATGTGTGGCAACAAGAAAGCAGGTATGTGGCTCTTGGGACAGTCCAGAGGAGAGGGGGGTGGAGGGCTGGGAAATTAGGGGGAGAGCCCCTCTTGGAACATCTTTCCGACACATCTCTCCTTCCCACGTCAGCCCCCATGACCACAGCCCAGCTCAGGACTCTGTCCTCTGCCTCAGGCCTATCACCCCCCACCTCTTCCCTGGCTTCCTGCCTCGGCCCCAAGCACGTCTCCACACCCCAGCCACCCAGGCCTTCCCCTGCAGCCCCTGCCCCTCCCCAGGCCCACAACTTCCAGAGGCTGACCTCTGCCAGATTGCTCAAGCCATCGGGCCCTGGGAATTCCAGATTTCTGCAATATGTCCTTTCCCTTAAAACATCCCTCCATCCTCCCCTCCCCAGCAACCTCTTAACCGTAATATGCGGGAAGAGCTGCCCCTTGCCAAGAACACACCACACGTCAGGCACCCTGCCAAGCACCGATCACTCTTACGTCTTCACGTTTACTACTACAGCCCCATTTCACATTTGAGAAAATGAAGGTCCAGAGAGGAAAGGCGACCTTCCCACTGCAGCAGGGCTAATAAGCATGGAAGGCAGGATTTGCACCCAGGGATGTCTGCTCCGAGTCCTTGGACGGTCCTTCCTCCCTGAGTCTCTCCTGACCTAGGTGAGCAGAGCAGGCCACCTCCAGGAAGCTGCCTGGATTTCAGCACAGCTCCCACTGTGGACTGTGGCCTGGATCCCCACTACACACACTGGCACTCGTGGCTACCTTCCAAACGAGTGGGCATGTGAGCAGCACTTACCCCAAACCCCGGGCCTCGTCCACAGCCTAGACTACGGGCAGACCCTCAGGGCTCCGGGTGAGTCCCGCTGGGAATGCCCAGGGTGCATTTGGCCGTGGAGGATACTGGAAGCAGAGGAACGTGGGCACTTAGCCACACGCCGCCCACTCTCCCGAGGCTGTAAATGACAGTAACTGAGGGAGGGCACCATCAGTGTGCGAGTACCAAGGCATGAAGGAAAACCATCCTGATACTCCAGGTGCCCTTGAACATGACAGTAAAAACGTGAAAGGAAAACCAACTCCATCGCTCAAACCCACCAGGTTCTGGGATTTCCACGTTTCTGCAGTATGTGCTTCCCGCTTCCCAAGACGTCCCCGCATCCCCTCCCCTGCCCAGCAGCCTCCTAATCAGAATAGTTGAGAAGAGCTGCCATTTGCTACGGAGTCCACCAAAATGCTGTTCCCGGCTGCGTGGGGGACAGGTGATTAGAGTCGTGGCTTCATGCCTTTGAGTATTGTCTCCGTATTTCCACAATCGAGGGGTTGTGCGTGTGTCCAGTCACCACCCTGCAGGGACACCTGCTTTACTCTACCCTGAAGATGGTGTGAGGTCACTAAAGACCCGAGGCAAAAGCACGTGACATATATTCTTCTCGGTCCCTTCCCAATGCCTCCGTGTCTGCAGGTCCCCGGCAACATGTTTACTCAGAGCCGCATGTGCACAGAGGGAGATCCTATTACACGTACTGTTCTACACCTCGCTTTATTTTTCACTTAAAAACATGCTGGGCCCCTACCGTACACGTTTCCTAAAACTCATCAAACTGTATGCGTGCGACGATGTGTAAACTGTACCGGGATAAACCTGCTTGAAAGCGTACACTATGCCCTCATTTCATGTCCATAAATACAGCTCTGTACCCTAATTTTGCAGAGTGACAGTGAATCTCATATAGCAGTCCCATCCTTCACTTTGCCTATTTCCTGTCCTGACTCCTGGAACTGTGGTTTCCATCTCTCTGCTTTTACAGACAACACCGTGGTGAATATCTTAGCACTCACGTCTTTGAGCACATCCTTAATTACTTCTGTAGGACTGGTTCCTAGAATTGAGCCTCTTGGGTCAAAGGAAACGTAATTTAAAGTTGTAGGTACGGATCATTATCTTGTCTCCAGAAAGGTTTTTAAAACTCCACGTTCTCTGGGCGCCTGGGCGGCTTAGTCGGTTAAGCATCTGATTTTGGCTCAGGTCATGGTCTCAGGGTCCGAAGACTGAGCCCTGCTTCTCCCTCTCCCTCTGCTTTATTTATTAGAGAACGCGCACGCTCTCTCTCTAATAAATAAGTAATCTTAAAAAAAATAAAGGGGGTGCCTGGGTGGTTCAGTTGTTAACCGTCTGCTTTTGGCTCAGGTCATAATCCCAAGGACCTGGGATGGAGCCCCGCATTGGGCTCCCTGCTCCGCGGGAAGCCTGCTTCTCCCTCTCCCACTCCCCCTGCTCGTGTTCCCTCTCTTGCTGTGTCTCTCTGTCAAAT